CTCGAAACTGCTTCTGGAAACAGGTGTCGATCTTGCAGGGTCGAGACAACACGTATTCGCTGTGCAAAAGCATTCCAAACATGCTGGACACTGAGGGACCCTCACGTAGCGGAGGGGGACCCCCCCCCCACCTTGAACAATCACACAGCCACGTTATGGGATGTTGGGGGGGGGTCCATAATTCCTCTCAAACGACAATTTTGCTGAACGACAAAGGTCCGGCACGCGGTTCTCACCTAGTGACCTAGTGTCCTGCTACGACGGCTACTACTACATCTACTACTACTGTAGTATACTACTACAGTTACTACAGTGATTGCTGGTACGCTGCAACTCCCGCATGCTCTACAGATCTAGCTTTCGTCAGCTTTGACAACGAACACACCAGCAGTCCTACTGGAAGTACAAGACTACAGTAACGGTACTTAAAGTGATGCTCCTCGAAGAGTTCATGCTGGTACAAGCCGCAATTGGTTGGACGACTTCTGGACTCTGGACTCATCATTGTGGGCCTATGTGGGAAGTCAAACCATCGAGAAGCCTGCGCAGCGCAGAGCGAAAACACGGCATGTATTTCTGGTGCTGAGCCTGTGAAAAATATGGCCCGTCTAAAAGCTCTCTGGCGATTAATGCTAACCGAGGACGAACAAGCCATTCCCCAAAATGGTAGTCCCAGCTCCTAAATCACAACTGCGGTACTATCCGAAGTCACCCTGCGCAAGTAACAACTCGTCGCCCGTTGGCATTCATGCTGAGGATCTGCTCTCCCAACGTTCATCCATGGCCACGTGGAGCTAGATTGTGAAGTCAGGGCTCGCACGAGTCTACCGCCTTCATGAAGAATATGCTTCCGGAATCTTCTAAGAGAACAGTTGGTATCTTGTTCCAGTGGTCCAGCATTCAAGCATCCAGCGAAGTCGACAGCACGAGCCGAGAGACTTCGACACAAGAATCCACCAGGAGCACCGGTGGGTTCCCACAGCAACTCCAAGCCGGTCACCGGGTGCATGAGCGAACTGCGGCGCGGGTGAGGCAGAGTGATGTGGACAGTGCTTTTGTTTCAAACTGGCCGGCAGGTCAGTGGAAGTCAACCTGCCTCCCCCGACGAGAACTACAAAGCATCAGCTTCAGCTCAGGCTACTGGGAGCAGGAGCATTAGGGAGCCGGTTTTATCGAAGTGGGAGTAAGACATCCTGCATAGCACCCTCTGGTTCTCTTCCCAAAGCTATGATGCTTTGCAGTTTCGCCGGAGGTGTTCCACGTGAACCAGAAGCCACGCGCTTCTGAGCCTATCTACGCGATTCTGGGGGATCCTGCTGCAAAGTGCAAGCTAGTGAGTGCCGAGTCCTTGCCAACAATCCTCAGTCACATGCCATCGAAATCAAGCTTTGCACACTAGACTGCATTCGAGAATCTTGGGTCATACAACCAAAAGCATCATGCCTGTGGTCGAGGCAGGCTACCTTCACGAATATGAACGAACACGCGCTGGTGCTACAGTCGCTAAAGCTACATATGACTTCTCTTCGGCAGCCAGAGCATGCTCCCCGCATCAGTCGCCCAGCATCTGCACTATCGTGGCTGGCCGACGGTCTCCATTGCAGTGCCCAGCGAACCCATACATTACCTGAAAACTAGAGTTTGTGGCCCAGGCTTGGGTCCACCGCATTGTTTCTCAAGGCCATGCAATATTCGTGACTGCTCTTTGTTGTCAGGAGGTTGCCTCAAACAGAAATGCCTCCTGTTTCGGCAAAGGCAGAGGGCTCCAGGTGGGGCGTGCCAGGTTGAACAGAGATCGCCAGCCCGCCAGTCCCCGAAGTCCAAGTTTCAAAGGAGTGACCGATGAGGCACTCGTGCCAAAAACTCGAAGCCCTGGGCCCTGGAGAGAGAAGGTTTCTTCTATTCGCCCACATCTGCTTGCTTTCCCTGTAGTTCCGGACGTATCCGGCCTTTCCCCCTTCGAGGCGCCGTCCTCGCTCACTGCCATGTCATTTTGTTGTTCACCTGGCTCGACAGCCCAGGCTCTGTAAACACAGCAACCGTGTTCGCGTTGCCTCTTAGGCCTGGGAATGCAGCAGAGACAGAGCGAGAGCGAGTCCGAGCGAGAGAGAGAGAGAGACAGGGTCAGAGAGCTCTCTGTCGCTGAATGTTTCTCGAGCGCATGGACACGGAACAGAGAATGACCCCTGACTCAAACCAAATCAGCAAAGATTGCACACAACGTTTTTGTTTGTGAGGAGCGTTGCACAGTCATCTTGGGCTAAGGTGAGAGTGGAAAGGCTAGCAGACGCACTGCCGCCGTCAAACTGAACTCGTTGCTCAAGACTTCCGGAGGTGGCAAAAGGGTGCGATGCATGCTGTATCTGTAACGGGAGAGCGGGTGGGTTGCAAGGCCAACGTTGGGCCTGCGCCTCGTACACGGTGTAAGTGCTTTCCTGCCGGGACAGCTTGCTCCACACCATTGCTCGGGCTTACCATGCAGAAGTCCTTTGAAAAGTGAGAATGCGCCGTCACTTGTTAGGTTGACCGGTAACAGTCGGAGCTGCTACTTCGGCATCTGCAAAAAGTTGACAAAGGTTCTTTCCCCGGCCGCAACGCGGCTCCAAAGTCTGACCTGACGAAGCTCCGAACGCAAAGCCTCCGATCGTCCGAGCTGACAGTCAGCGAGGCACCTGTTTCGCTGTGTTCACGCCGATCTCGTTACTTGGAATCAGCATCAGCTGGGAGGAGCCCGCATAGCCCTCATTCCTGCGTCATTGATGCCATTGGAAGGAAAAGGGACAGTGACGGGTGGCAAGCCGGCGAGCCGAATAAACCACTCTAGTAAGCACGCAGAATCTTTCGCTACTTTAGCTGACGGTACATGACAACATCACGTTCTTTACTCCTGACGATTCTCTCCGGAGCTGGTTTAGGCGATTCGGATTCCACCCATGCTGGAATCTGCTTTAGATAAGAAGTTGCACGCAGTTTGCTAGGTCGAGCTAGGACACAGCTTTCACAGGACATAGCTGCCGAAGACAGCGCAGAATATGCTTCAGCACTGTGGCCATACGTCGGCTGTCCAGAGTGTACATGCTTTAGATTTGAGGCTTCACCCACGCAGCCGGTTGCCTGTATCGATGGTCTAGTACTGCTTCGTGGGCGCTACTACCACAGGTTGGGCACAAAGGTCTTTTACATGCTAGGAGCGTCGAAGACAACATCTATAATCGTTTGCATCGAGCTAGTTTATACACAATCGAGCTTCTAAAGTCTAGGACAAGAAGTTCAGATTTTCCAGTTTTGTCAGGCCCTCCCACGGGCTTTGAATGGGCACGTCGCCGCGTGGCAGCAGAAGCAAATTCCAGGAAGGCCTCCGAACGCTCGGCTTTCGATGTGACGCTCCAAAGATCTGCTACACGCGGATGTAAGGGGAAGAAGGCCGGTTGTCGTCATGTAGTATATATGTGTCTCATTCCGAGCAGTGCATTGATGACCTGGGCTCGGACGAAGAAAGACCGAGCTCAGTGGACTTGATACAGACTCCTTGGCTCGAAGAAGACGGTCAGTATGCTCTTATTTGGCTGTTTGTTACCGCATCTCGGCGCACAAGACCATCTGCTGAAAAGAACGTCTGCTGGTCATCCCTGACACACACACACACAGAGCCCATCACAGCCGTAGGGTATTTCGCAACACGCACACTCTTGATGAAACACCAACGCTGCGACTGCGAAGGCGTGGCACGGATCACAGGCGGCACTCGAACTAGCGAAGGCATTGCTGGCCACGCCAGCAGGAGGAGGTTCACGGGAGTTTTGCCACCGCTTACATGAAGTCTTGCAAGTAGAGTACTAGTGTTGCGAGCTGTTGCTTGCATCGGTCTATGTCTAGCTGCCCATTCACCACATGACGAGGGACATTATCTGTGCCTTGCTGCCTTGAAGCAGAGTTGACATGTGCACACCTTTTCTCTTCGCATGACCACTCTCGCAGCAGTCTGACTTGGCTCAAGGACTGCCGGAAGTCATCAGGCAGCGGAGCTCGGGCGTGTCCTTCATCACGGCGCTACAGTGCACGATGTGTGAGCTATTTGAGGGTTATCCTATGTTCTTTCTCCCCGAAACACCCAGCACTAGAATGCTTTAGAAGGGTCCTTACACCAGATTAGCTGTATACATGCGCCCAAGGGGATGTATTCGACCCATAAAGGTCTGGCAACAGAGCATACAGCTCTGGAAGGCTCAGGGAAAAAAGCGGTACAGCTCTCGAAGGGTCTTGCCAGCAAGGAATACAGGTTTAGAAGGGTCCTTTAACAGGCAATACAGCTCTAGACCAGTCAGCGTCTTGCAGCCAAGACGGGGCCTGGCCTTGCTGGGGCATGTTTGCCTTTCGCGAATACCATCTTACACTTCCGAAACGCACACACACACACACATTCCGAAGAGTGTTTCTTCGCGCTTTCGCGAGTATTGCGAAAAATCTGTTAGAGGATGTTCAGTAGCTGCGGGATTTGGACTCTTTACTTGGCGCGTGTTTCGCAGTGGCTCTAGATTAGTCTCGACCTGCACCTTTGAAGCACAGGTGTAGAGACTAGCAAGCTTTGCATGTGTATAAAGAAAGACCAGCGGCAAAACCAACCCAAACAAGATCCAAGTCAACTTTATTAAGCAGTTCCCCATGGCAACTCTTCTGCGCCGCTTTTGCGCACCTTTTGCACACGAGGGTTTTGCATGATTTTGTACGTTCGAATAAAGGTTTGTATGCATAAACTTACAGACAACGGCTTTAGGACAACCCACGAATGTGTGTTGTCCCACCTCAGAATGCAGCCACTACGGTCGCTCACCCGACGGTACATGTCTCTTCGCATCGTAGCTAGATGCGCCAGTTCCGTGGCCCACTGCAGAAGCTCAACCCTGCCAAAAAGAACCACATGTAACCACCATCGAACCTACCTACTCGATGCTCGCCACCAACCGCTCGTCGACCAATTTCGGAACGCCAGCCGCCCCGCCTCAACCATCTTGTTTGAGTGCGATTGAAGCCAAGTGGCGCGGCTGGCCTCGCATGTCGCGGAAGCCAAGACCTGTCGCTGCCAAGCACAGAGAACCCAAGACGTAAACAATGCACCTACAATCGCGGAGCCCACCAGCCTGAGCGGTGCAAGCAGTTCCGCTGGCAGAAGTCGGCATCGGCCACGAACGACCACTGGCTGGAGTAGAGTGCATCCTGAATTCGTGCGGCAGATCTTGCCTCGCTAGCTTAGAAAAGTCTACGAGCTGCCGCAGATCAGCTCACATGGTTTTGTTATGCGACTTCGAGCTACAAGTAGAGCTCACAAATACCACGCAAGGCCAAATGCTATTTTGCAACTTCTACGCAAATCTTTGTAAATTGTTAGGCTGTAGCTCCCGTCTGGTTTTCATGTTCGCCGGTATTATAGAGTGATAGAGGGTATGAGGATTCAGCTGAGAGAAAGACACGCCGAAAGAAAGGAAATAATCAACAAACACAAGCGCATGCAAGCGAAGTTGCACGGACGACGGGATGGCCAACATGTGCGAGCTGACCTTAGTTGGCAGGTTTCTCCGACAAAAATGGCCTGCAATGCCGTGCTTTTTGCAGGAGCCCAGGCATGAGGCCAGGAGTGATAATACTGCAACTTCCCAGTGCTTCCTCGATGAGAGGTTCTGGTTACACTTGAGCAACTTCTCGGTGTCATGCCTCGGTGTCACCTGTTGCCGGTGAACCACCTACCGGGCTTTGTGTACTGGTGCTGTCTCACGCCCTGCTCGGAAAGCTGGAAGGGTGGTGCCAACTGAAAAAGCAAGCTGGTTTGGACGACCAGGAGAGGTTGAGCTGGACTGTGCCACGCAGCAACTTTGACGGCCAGTTCTGTGCACAACCGCTTTCCAAGCAAAGCCGCCTTTTCATACCATGGTTTTCTGTGAAATGCACCGGTCTAGATGTGCGATGATGCTTCCGATCCTAGACTGGTACCTGTTCAAATCATGCTGCACAATCCATCCAACATTGCTCCTAGATGCCTCTGGGAAGCCTCATTTGTCCAAAGTTTGCTGGGCGTGCACTCAACTTCCCTGGCTTCCCTTCTCTCGGCAGCCTTGGCGTCCTTGCTCGGCTCAGCCGAGAAGCCTGGAGACCTCTTTTTGCCGGGGCCTTGGATTGAGTCCAAGCATCTTCTGAGTTGGTGACGGCGACCCGTCGATATGAAGAGGCTGAGGCGGCTCACGGCTCTGACCTCTCGTGCTCTGGAACTTAGTGGGCTTCAGTTTGGCGCGGTCCCCCACTGCAACCAGTTTACATGTTGTTCTGCATGCCATCCCCTGCCAGCTTGCAGAACTGAGGCAGCCTGGCCCGTCGTCCAATAAGGCTTTTAAGGGTCTGACAAATTACGGCCGCGTTTGCAACACCCGTCTCAGATTGAGCAAGTAAAGTCCTCTGCCCACCAGAAGGCCTGCAGCACACCGTGTACGCCGCCTTCAAGTGAAGCGAAGCTTGGCCGGCCACGCCCGCCCGCTGCGGAGGGCCTCGCCTGCTATCGGAGGCTTGGAACCCATGTAAACAATCACATACTTTGCGATTCCGGACATGTACCAGGATTAGCTTATCGTGGGAGTGGCAGGTCTCGCAACCCAAGGCGAAGCATTTGATCATCGCCCTATCACGAGGTGGAGGCTTCGGAGAGGCCAACCGCACCGCCAGATTCCATGTTCAAGGGCGATAACACTGTCGCTCGTCGATGCTCAACCGGCTCAACTCAAATCTGGCGGGAGCCTCACCCTGACGGCGCCAGGACACAGAGGCAGTGAGGACACGGCGCCCTGTGCTCTCGCAAAACTAGACAAAACCTAGGGACAGGACCGAAGATGCCGAGGTGGGCTTGATTTAAAGAGCTTTGCGGCCACATGCAGAGTCTCGACGTGGGCTGGTCGTCAGGTCAGTCTTTGCATGTTCAGAACACGTCAGCAAAGCGCTCCACCTTTAGAGACGAAGCCGTGGCAAAGCCTCGGCTGGTTGCGATACAAGGCTTTGCACATGGCAATAACAGTCACGTCGACCAGAAGAGAAAGCCGAGGTGCAATAAGTAGCTCCGTGATATCTGCCCTGCTGCCAGCTGGAATTGGAGATCGTAATAGGACTCATGCCTTGAGTACGAGCTGCGCAAAACAGAGCTAGACTGCTTCATTCCCTTCCAAGCCCGACACAAGCGTCCCGAGCCTTGAGAATCTGCAGCGAGACAAACATACAAGAAAAAATACATCAATTACAACCCATTTCAGCCTTGGTGCGTTTTTGCCGCGAGAATCCTTGCCAGCCAGTTCACTGTTCTCCAGGACATGCCAGGGCTAGGGAAGCAATCTATGACCATAGAAGAAACCGTTCGAAAAGGAGAGCCTGAGCATACAGCAGCGAACCGATCGAAATGCACTGCAGGAGGTGAGGGCAACGTGCTCGAGTGAATAGAGTTTGATAAATAAGCAACACTCGTCGACGCTGATTGAAGAAAACAACAGCGTTACGAGGAGCAAGCAGCCAGCGAAATTGAGAAAAAGGAGAAAACAACTTGGTGCTCGACAGGTTGGCAAAGAGGACCTAACTCGAGAGTGACTATAATGCCGGGAACAAACCGCCCGAAAAGCACTGGAGAAGTTAACAGAAATGGAGCGAAGCGGCTGGGACGAACCAGGCGAGAATGCAAAGGATCACACTGTTCGAAATCAACCAGAACAGGCGAGAACGAGGAGAGAGTTGAGCTCGGGACGCCAAACGCTCCGAAGGGTCTGGAGTGACAAGCTAACCGCCTCAAATCGGCTTGAAGCTGAGATGGAGGAGTGCACTGCTGAAGGGACTGGAGAAGATGAGACAGGAGACAGAGGAGCAAGCCGCTCGAGGAGTACGAGAGATGTTCGAGCTGAGGTCGGGGGGGCAAGCCGCTCGACAGGAACGCTTTCAGCACTCACAACTGGGACAAGCCTGGCGAGGGTCAGGAACGATTTAAATTCCTTCGGCACTGGGGCATGCCGCTCCAAAAGCACGTTTGAGCTCAAATAGAGGCTTGAGGGGCGAACTATTGACAAGGAACGAGAGAAGTGCAGGAAGGGAAACGGACCGATCGAAGGAAACTGGACACATGAGACAGGGCAAAAAACCGAAGGAAGAAGGGTACAACGCAGAAGTTCGGGAATGCAGGCCATACCACTAGAGAACACGAGAATCAAGGTTGAACCGATCGAAAAATACTGTAGCAGCTGAAAAAATGATCAGAGGCACTAGAGCAGCCTTGGAGAAGTTTTCGAAACAGGAGTGCACCGCGCGACATGGACTACAGAATCTGAAAGAGGAGCGACCCGTTCGAACTTGGTACAATTCTCGAGTTGTGTGTTCGAGGGCGACAAGAAAATCTGAGAAAGTGGAGCGAACCGTGTGGAAAAGACAATAAAGAATCTGGCTTCGGAAGGCTAGAGAATCTGAGACAGAGGAACGAACGGTTCAAGAGGGAGTCGAGAAAGTGGGAAAGAAGAGCGAACCGCTCCAAAAGAAGCTACAGGGTCTGGAGAAGCCGGGAAGGAAGAGCGAACTGCTGGACAGAGAGAGCGAATCTGATATACAGGAGTGCGCCGTTCGAAAGGGACTGGAGATTCTGGCAAAAAGTAGCAAACCACACGAGAAGGGTTAAATAAATATAATCTGAAACAGAGAAGTGAACTGCTCAAAAGGAACTAAAGTATCTGAGGGAAAGGGACTAACAAGTCTGAAAAAGCTGAGCGAAACGCTCAAATTGATGAGGAGAAACAAGAAAAACGGAGCGAACCGCCCGAAAAGTGGCTAGAGAATCTGGAAGAAGGTGCGAACCGCTCGAAAGGGACTGTAGCGAATCTGAGAACAGGAGCGAAGCTTTCGAAAGGAATTGTTGCGAATCTGAGAAAGAGGAGCGAACCGCTCGAAAGGGATTGTAGCGAATCTGAGAAAGAGGAGCGAACCCTTCGAAAGGGACCTAGAGAATCTGAGAAAGAACGGCGAACCGTTCACAACGGCCACGAGCATATGAGAAAGAGGAGCGAAGCTTTCGAAAGGGATTGTTGCGAATCTGAGAAAGAGGAGCGAACCGCTCGAAAGGGATTGCAGCGAATGCGAGAAACAGGAGCGAACCGCCCGAAAATGACTGGTCTGAAGAATCCCTTTGTGTGAGTTGAGAAAGAGGTTCAACTGTTATGGCCCAGTTGAATCTTGCAACCAGGAGTCAGACCCGAGCTCGGCACATCGAGGCGATGCAAGAATCCATAGCGGCACCTGTGTGCGGCTAGGAAGCCGAGGCACAGTCCTCCCTTGCGGGCTACTCCAGGGGCCAACATGACTTGAAGCTACTCGGGTAGCATCATGCAACAGATTTCGTTGCAGACGCTTCCTGGAGCAAGGTCGTTACACGGAACAGATCCCAGGCACGTGCAACTATGGCTGAAGCCGTGCTGAGGGTGCCTGAGGTCGTTCGCAATTCCGCAACCAAATCGGCGGCGCACCTTGGACATCGTAGTCTTCAAGCAATGCGTGTTGGTTCTCTTCTGACACGCTAGTAGCTTACTCACTACATCTAGAACCCCACTGCGGCTGGAGCTTCAAACCGCGCCTGAACCCCTTTGATCCCCCTGGGATCCTGGACCCAAGCGCCACATGACTCGCCAAGCTCAGAGATTGAAAGTCTTAAAAGGTTGACATAAGGCAAAAGCCTGAAACGACCCAACATCACAAGAGCCCAAAGCTCACCCAGAGCATTGCCAAGCATGTGGCACAAAAATAGAGCACGGCAGCGGCGAAAAAACGGGACGATGCTCAGCTCAAAAGGATTGGTTGCAAAACTTCATAAGAACAACGGCTGTGTTCCATCGACGATATGAACGACGTGCTATGATAGCCCAGTGTTTCTATACCTTCTATAGCTTTCAATGTATTACACTTGTCTTGCTCTTTCGCATGCTTTCCAGGTTGCGAAGTCTGACAATTGATGGTCGGCATTGTCATCGTAGACCTCCCAGCCTCCACTGCCATGACCCTAAATCCTTTTTGCATCCGGTCTGCAGCGA